TACTAGATACATACCACAACCAGAGCTTAACTTGAGTAGACAAGCCTTTATGAATCTTGCTAGATGGAGATATGTAATAAGGTTATTTTATTCAATTTTTGCTGTCTACCCGATACGTCGGTTTCGGCACACCACAACCGACTTGCTCATATATCTAACTTATCATAGAGATGGCTTTGGTCCCCGGCTACAAATTGGAAGATGGTGCCTGAAGTTGTGGGAGTGGTTACCAGGCCCCCTACACCACAGGACTGATGCTGCCAGGTTCATCCCTCCCACCTCTCCCATTATACATATTACTATTACAGGTGGGCCTTCTTTTATTACAGACCTACCCAATACGTCAGTTTCAGCACACCACAACCGACTCGCTCATATATCTAACTTATCATAAATACGGCATTGGTCCCTGACTACAAATATATGTATATATACATATACAAACACACACACACATCATCCACAACATTAAAACCACTGAATACAATTGATTAATGGAACCTGTCAAGGGTTGGGATACATCAAGAAGCACGTGAACAGTTCTTGAATTTCATGTGTTGGAAGGAGGAAAAATAGGCAAATGAAAAGATCAGAGTGAAGGGCCAAATAGTGATAGTTAGATGACTGTTTCAGAACATACCAATAATGACAAGTTGTGTGTGGTGTTCCCAGTGTGTAGTGGTTTGAATCTACCTAAAGTGGTGCAAGGAAGGCAACCAGTGAATCAGTGTCAGGATCTTTGATACACGTCAATGCACATTTAGAACAAAGGCTATCCAATCTAGTCTGATCACACAAAAGCAGTGGCGTCTCTAGGATTCATTTTTCGGGGGGGCACATGGAGGGCCAGTGACAAAAGTAGGGGGGCACATTTAACCCCGCCCTCGTCGCAGTTTGACCCCGCCCCTGTCACATGTTAAGCCACGCCCCCAACACAATGTGTTTTGTTTTTTTTAATAATACCTGGTGGAGGATTCATTATTTTCCACCAGGGATTATTAAAAAAACAAACACATTATCCTTGATACAGTGCCATAGTTGCCAACATTTGAAAAAAAATTTCCAAGGACATTTTGCAGCACAGCTATCAATTACTGTCTGGGTATAATATCCTTGGACAGTCAGTGCTCTCTGTATAATACAGGGCTGTGTGTATAATAAATTGGGACACTCAGTGCTCCCTGTATAGTGCTGCTCTTTGTATAATACAGGTCTGTTTGTGTATAATATCCCAAGACAGAGAGCAGCACTATACAGGAAGCACTGACTATCCCAGGATATTTTATACACACAGATCTGTATTATACAGATAGCTGAGCATATACCCCAATCTCTAGACTACTAGTACCTGTCAACAGCAGCAGCTGTAACAGGGCTAAAGTGTGCGGCAGCTCACACAGATTATTCAGCGGTAAAGTGCACTCGCTGGCAGAGCCAAACTGGGAATCCCTGGGAATCCAAAGCAGCCCTGGAAAAAAAAAACGTATGCCATTCCTACAAGTCAAAAAAATAAATATATATATATATATATAGTACAGTAAGCACACAAGCTCACTGACATGCGCAAATAGGCTTACTGACAGACAAAACTCTCTGACTCACACACAAGCTTACTACAGACACTCACTTGTATAAACAGAAGGCTCACTACAAAGAAGTTCAGGGACACACACACAAGCTCACTAAAGACAAGCTCACTGACACACACATGCTCACTAAATAGAAGCTCACTGACACACAAAAGCAGTACCATTTTAACAGAGTTAAGGGCCCCTGGGCAAAGCAATGCACTGGGGCCCTTCCTACACAACAACTCACAGGAATTTTAATTATTGATAGACTGCTGAGTCCATACACACACACACACACACACACAGACTGCTGAGTCCATATACACACACAGACTGCTGAGTCCATACACACACACACTGCTGAGTCCATACACACACACACACACACACACGAACTCTGCTGAGTCCCATACACACACACACACAGACTCTGCTG